TTTTGAAATCTGGGTTGGTATTAAGTATTTTTATCTTTTTCTAAACCTATGAAGGTAATAATATAAATTTTAATTTTTATTATGTTACTAGGGTGATGTCAATTGACTTTTAACCTACTCTGAAATAATTTTAGATTCAAAGGCAAGTTGCAATGATAGCCCAGAATCTACCTAGAATTTGTGTATTCTCATATCCCACTGGGAACATAACTATAGTCCATTTATCCAAACTAAGAAATTAATACTGACCCAATACTTTTTTCTCTTTCGTGTGTGTGTATGTGTGTGTGTGTGTGTGTGCCAGTATTGGGGCACTGTCCCTGAGCTTCTTTGTTCAAGGACAGCATTCTACCACTTGAGCCATAGTTCCACTTCTGGCTTTTTTGTAAGAGTCTCCTAGACTTTTCTGGCTGGACTGGCTTGGCACCACAACCCTCAGATCTCAGCCTTCGGAGTAGCTAGGATTGCAGGTGTGAATGAATGGTGTCCAGCTCTTAGTCCTTTGCCGCTATCAGTGTCGAGTTATGGCTATTTGGGTTAGGATTCAATGCTGGTGAGAGTGTAAAAGAACTGCCACTTGGTGGGCAGAAGCCACAGCAGCCACGGTTGGCGGCACACTGTCTCCATCAGATTGCAGGCAGCTCTTCTTCCACTGCTTCCCTCCAGCAGCCACCAATGTGATGTGTACGTTCACAGACAACACCACCTTGTTTTTAAAGCTAAAATGCAAAACACCTTGTAGCCTTGTGCATTTTTATAATTTTACTCATAGAAAGCTATACTACTGTTTTTTTATTAGGTCCTACCTTTGGGGGAAAAAATGTGTCATTGAAGAAGTATTGGAGTGCTCATTGTTCCCGTGACACCCATGGTTTTTACTGTGCAGCTTTGCATAGCGTGATGAGTTTTAAGAACACGTAAGACATGTGTGGCAGAACTGATTTTAACTTATTTTCCTAACAGTGAGAAATCTGCCTCCGGTCATCTACCGTTTATTGACTTATTTATTCAACACTGCTATACCTGGAGAGTGGTTTCAGAATTGCAAATCAATACTCCCGTGTGAGGTAAATTTGTCAAACAGTGTTTATGCACAGCTTCTTTTATCTTTAGCCTTCTACCATCCAATCAAAATATTATTATCCTAAGTTATTTAAGTCAGGTCCTTTCCCTCTCCCCTTGAGGGAAGTAATGTCATTTCTTAGTAAAATGGCTAAATTGTCGTTTCAGCCTGGCATTCTCCTATTATGGCTGACTTTTTATTAAGTTTGTATAAAGTCCTCTTTTGAAGTATCTACTTCTTCAGACTTTGAAAAATGTATAGAGTTATGTGTTTACTACTTAGATTTGGAACAGAGCAGGTTTGTCACCCTAAAAATTTCCTCATGTAGCCCCCGCCTTTCCATCTCCCTCATCTCCCTTAACACCAGCAAGCACTCAGCTGTTTCCCATCCCTACGCTTTTCCCTTTTGTGATATTATAGAAGTTAAACCATGTAACACGTAGCCTTCTGGACCTGGATTATTAAATTTAGTGAGATGTATTTAAGATCGACTTGAACTGTTGCATGAATCAGTAGCTCATTCTTCTTTGATGATGTGTATATTTTATTTTATGAATATACCATTCACTCACCCTGTTAAGGGAGATCTTCCAGTTATTGGTGATTATGAATAAAGTGTCTTCAAACATTTGTATACAGTTTTCATGTACTGGGATACATACATTGGCAGGAAATCTCGGGGTTGTATGGATAAGTATATGTTTAATCATTTTTGGCTTTTAAAAACTTCCTTTTAAGTAGTTGTATAAAGGGGTTCCAATTCAACATGTCAGTTTGTGAGTACACGGCATCTTGTTCAATGTCACCTCTTTCATGATCTCCCCCATCTCTTGCAACCCCACCCCTCCCCTCCTCTCAATTTACCTAGTTCCATTTTCACACCTACATTGAATATTATGCCTATATTTGCCCACTGTTTACATTTTTAAGAAAGTCTCAACCCTTCTCTCTCTATAATATATATGGATACATATGTGTGTGAGTGTATACATATACATGTATGTGTGTACACATCAATGCACACATTTTAAAAGTTTTAAATCAGACAATGTTTGGAGGTTAATAATGGCTCCAACGTCATGCTTGCAACATAATTCCCTCTTTGTATTATTAAACAGAACAAAAACTAATTATATCATGTCTATCCTTTCCATCAATATTCATATCCTATGAATAAACCATTATGTAATGGGAACTCTGTACCTGGGGTAAGTGACTCTAATTGCCATCCCAATAATTCATATCATGCCCTTGGGATAATACAGTATTGTGTTTCAGGTGACTGTCTTAATTTCAGAGAGGTTATAGGAGATCCATTTCAAGAGGCAGCAGATTCATTGTGGGACCAAAACTCTTGCTTGAGTGTAGCCTGGATAACTCTCTTGAACTCCAAAGACACTACTCAACTATAACTCAGTAGAGTCAAATCAGTGGAACTTTGTAAGCTAACCCAAGCTTCTGGTGGACACTCTGCTTAAACTTGGTAGGGAGAATGAACTTGTAGTTACTTGTGTTTGGTTGGGACTGGCTCCTCCCATTAGACAGAGTTAGGGTGGCTCTCCCCAGACTGCTCTACAAAGGCTAGATGGCCATGACTTGTCACCCCAATTTACTTTTATTTTCTTTCTGGAATAAGATTTCTCTTTACACAGAATACCTGTGTAAACTATTCCTCTTTTCATATAGTGGAGTATGAATTGCATCCTATTTCCTGGACTTCTTCAACTCTGAGGACTAAAATGCAATCCCAGGGTAAAGACCATGTGGTTATCCTCTGGATCTTCATAGCAGTTGATCTTCAAGTATTTTGAATTATCTTAGAAATACCAGAGAGAGGATGGAGTACAAAAACCTCATGCTAAAGTTATTTTTCAAGTTTCAACTTTTTATTTTCCTCCATTTAGAAGTACCAGAGCATTGGATCACTAAATTATGCACATTTAAAAAATACTATATTGCCATTTTGGAAAAGTAGAAAGCAATGCAACATTTCCCCCCTCCAAAACATTTATTTTGAATTAGTTTTTAGTAATGAATACCAGACAGATACCCATTACAGGACTTACCAAAATGCCAGCCTCCCTCCTTTTGCTATGTTGCCTGGTTTATTTGTTCTGGAGAGAGGGACACAGCACAGGACTGAGGGAAGTCTAAGCCAAGTGGCCTACTGAGACAGAAAACCTAGTGTGCCCAGTGGATTTAATTCAATTTGGGTTTACCTTGGATGCTTAATGACCAGTGTGAAAGGATGGTACCTGTTGCAGGTTGTAATTAGCAGCCAGAACTCTTTTTCAAAACTGTAATCTTTAAAAAAAAAAAAAAAAAGCTGCTGACTTTAGGATTTAGTGTTTTAATCATTTTCCTTCCCTGTGCATCCTTCCAACTTGTCCTGGAGGAAAACTGTCATTCCCCCCCACCCTCCACCATGCATGTGTGTGTGTGTGTGTGTGTGTCAATACTGTGGTTTGAAGTCAGGGTCTGAGGCCTGTCTCTCAGCTTTTCTGCTCAAGGCCGGGACTTTACCCACTTGAGCCACAGCCCTGCTTTCAGTTTTTTGCAAGTTAATGGGGAGATGCGAGGCTTATGGAGTTTCATGACCAGATTCTCTTTAGGACTTTGAGCCTCAGATTTCAGCCTGCTGAGTTACAAGTGTTAGCCACGATTGCTTGCCCAGCTCTTTTCCTTCTGTTTTTTTTTTTTTTTTTTTTTTTTTTTACTCTTATCTTTAAGTAGTTGTACAAAGGCACTGCCATTTCACAAAGCAGTTTTGGAACACATGCGTCTACAGCAGTGTCACACCTTTCAGCATTCCCATCCATACCGCTCCTAGCCTCACTTTGTGTAATTTTGTAGGATAAACATTGGATTCCTGACGACAGTCTCCCCCCTTCTCCTCTCTCTCCATGGCCACACCCTACTCCTTTCAAAGTACTCACTTGCTGGCGTTCTTTTAAGCTGAACTTTGACTGTCTTTCTAAGGAATTACACGGTGTTTCTAAGGAATTACACTCCCTTGAATCTGCCCTATTTCAGTTCATGCATTTGTACACTTGCCTACCATCTACTATATTTACTGACCAGTTTATAGGCTAATTCTGGCTTCCACCTATGAGGGAAAACATGAAACCTTTGTCTTTCTGGGCCTGACTTACCATCCTTTCTAACGAAGCTTTCCATTTCTTTACAAACGGTACAATAGCGTTCTACAGCTCCGCGGAGGGGAAGGAAGGGCCATTCATTGCTGGGCTCTGTGGCCCCTCGGCTCCGTGTGACCTTGGGCACTGGGGCTGAAGTGACAGCCTCCCTAGAGCTAAGGTCCTTCCGCGGGGAGCAGGGGACCCCACGGCCCTCCAGACCCAGAGCTCGCGCGGCGGGGCTTACGTCCCCGTCCTCCCCCCCCCCCCCCCGCCCCGGCCCGAGGCCTCGCCCTCCCTCCGCCCCGCGAGGTGACCCCGAGCCGCGTGGGGCGGACAGTCGGGCGCGCTGGCCCGGTGGGGTCTCGGCTCCGCTTTGGGGAGGGGCGGAGGGGCGCCCCGAGCGCACCTAGCTTTCCGGCATTGCCCGGGGAAGGCTCTTGCTTATTTACTGCCTGTGGCGTCTGTATTATTATTATTATTATTATTAGGGGGGGTTGCGATTCCCAGGGGGTCCCCGAAAGTGGGGTCCGCACAGGCGCTGTAAGGCGGGGACCTCGACGCGCGTCCCCGCGTCGGAGGGTGGAGACGGAGAGCGGGGCGCCCCTCGCCCGGCCCGCGGCCCCAGGGTGCAGCCCCCTCCCCGCGCCCGCGGCCCCGCCCCGCCCGGCCCCGCCCCGTCCGGCCGCGCGGGCGGCGCAGGTGCGCGGCGCGAGTAGGTGCGTGGGGATGATCTCACTCGCGCGCTCGGCGCCCGGAGGAGGAGGAGGAGGAGGAGGAGGAGGAGGAGGAGGAGGAGGAGGAGGGGGAGGAGGAGGAGCGGGAGCGAACCCGACTTCCGGGTAGAGCCGCCGCACGCCACCGGCGTCTCCTCGCTTTTTCCTTCCCCTCCCCCGGGTCCCCCTCGCCGCTCCCTCCTTTCCTTTGATTCCCAGCCCCACCCGCCAAAATGAACAGCTCGGACGAGGAGAAGCAGCTGCAGCTCATCACCAGCCTGAAGGAGCAAGGTAGGCGGGCCTGCGGGCGCCAGGTGTGGGAGCCGCGGCCCGGGGGCGGGACGGCGTCCGGGCGCTGCGGCAGGTGGCCTGGCGGCCGCCGCGGCCGCCCCGGGACGGGCGCCCTCCGCGCGCGCCCTGGAGAGCCCAGGGCGGAGGGTGAGGTGCCCGGGTCCCGGAGGGTAGGGCCGGGTGAGGGGAGGAGCGCTACCCGCCTGGGCCCGCGGCGATCGGGGCCGGGCAAAGGAACCTGCCGGCGATCGGCGTGCACGAGGAGGCCCAGCACCCCCTTCCACGCGGCAGAAGCGGGTGGGGCGGCGCGCAGGGCGGCCTGGGGTGGCTCTCCGGCTGTCTCAGGGCTCTGGGCCCGGCCCCACCCTTGCACACTTTGCGCGCGCCTGCTCGTGGGCCTGCAGTGCTGATTTCCAGCCCTTCCATCCCTGGGTTAGGTCCAGTTCCTCTTTTCCTTAGCTGGCTGGGATTTTCAGGCCACAGTGTGTGTGTGCGTGTGTGTGTGTGTGTGTGTGTGTGTGTGTGTGTGTGTGTGTGTTATCACTTCCCCATTTTTAGCAATTTATGAGTCAGAGCCAACACTGCCTGCGTGGGCCTCCTGGGTGTGCAGGGTCCGCCTGCCCCAGGCCCTGTGCATGCCTTTCACCAGGGCCTGGGAAATGGGGATTGTCCTTAAGAACTGTTGCAGACGGTCATTTTCATCCCTTACCACACCGAACAAAGCCAGGTCGGAGAGCCCGTGTGAGCCTAACCTTACGCTCTTGCAAAATGATTATCACCTGGACCAAAAGGTGGTTCGAGAATGTGGACCTAGAAAAGAGCGGAACCAGATTTAGGAAGTAAAAGTGTGGAGGGTCATGTGCTTTTCTGAGTGACTCGTTGACAGCACCATGCAGTGGACAGGGCTCTGCTCATGGCTAAGCCTCTTGGCTTAGTCCCAACTCGGCCTCTTACATTCTGTGAACTTGGAAGAGTCTCTTCCCTTCATTGGATCTTGTGGTTCAAAACTCCCACATGACTAGACAAGGGTAAACCAGATGACCTCATGAGGTCAGTGTGTAGGACTATGACCTGCTGCTGCTAGAGTCCACCCACCCCTCTGGAATCCACATTCCAGGGCAAACACATCTCTACCGGAATGTTTACTGTGACTTTTGGGGAAGTTACTTCACCTCATTGAAATGGACATGACCCACTTCTCTGTGGTTTGTAGCTTCTAGAAAGTGCTGGTTAAGTGTTAACTTGCATCTTTTAGCTCTCACTCTAGATTAGTTTACTATCATAAAAGTAGCTACCAGTGACTGACTATGGTAGGATGTGAGCAGGGGTGAGGGAGGACAGAAAATTCCTTCATCTGGAATCTCTCAAGTCAGGGCCAGATTCTGCAAATATTCTTCTTCATCTTCTTCTTCTTCTTTTTTTTTTTTGAGTAATATCTCCCATTCCATAACATAAAGACTTTGATTCACACTTAAGACTTACAGAACTTCCCTTATAGATAATAGTCGTCAATATTAGCTCTTTCCTTGGCTAATTTTTGAATAATAATAAACCATGACTCATGTTTATTCTTTATATGACTTCAAGAGTAGAATAACAATGTGCATAATCCACAATCGGTTTTTACTTGATTTTAGAACATATTCTGGTCTCTGTTGGATTCAGGGCTCTTGTGATTATTGTATTGGACGACCAGTTCATGACATTGGTATTTTTAGAGGCATATTTCCTTGATCAAGTACATATTAAAGTCAGTGAAACTATTAAGACTTGAAAATTTGTGTTATTTCTAAGTAAACTTTCGTAAGGGTATTGAATCTGCATGCATAGATGTTGGGATTTTTTTTCAGCATTGTAAAACCAGGGTGGGGGTGTGTGCCAGTAGATGGTAGTGTGAACAGTTGACTGCAATAATATTTGTTATTTGGCCTATGGAACTAACTGGGAAGCTAGGAATTTGAGATGGGAACAGGGCAGCTAGGTCTTTGGCGACTTGCCAGTGTCATGACCAATTTTGTAAGTTAGTTTTGGGTCAGAATTCCATCATCATTATTTAACATGTAGAAAGAGAACTGTGGGCTGGGAAGGTGGCTCAGTGGTAGAGTGCTCACCTTGCATGCATGAGGCCCTAGTTTTGATTCCCAGCATCACATAAGCAGAAAAAGCCAGAAGTGGTGATGTGGCTCTAACGGTAGAGTGCTAGCCTTGAGCTGAAGAGCTGAGGGACAGTGCCCATGCCCAGAGTTCAAGCCCCACGACCGGCCAAAAAAAAAACAAACTGTTATTAATCAGATGCCCTACTTTCCTTTTTTAATGCTGAGTAAACACAATGTATTCATACCTTTAACAGCTACCAGGAACTTACTATATATGACACCCATCTGGTAGACATGGGTGTTATGGGGTGTAAACCAAATAATCTATATTTCAATAAATATTCCTCCTTGTCAGTAGTCATTAAGATAATCATACAAATAGATGTACAGTTATGAAGTCTTTCTGGGGTAAACAGGAGTGGAGTTGTTGGATGGGAGGGCATGCAAGGGCATGTATAAAGTTTGGCTACACAGTGCCCTCCCCAGTGGCTGTACCAGTTTGCAACTTCCCCTGAAGCAGTGCCTGTATCTCCACAAGACTGGCTGAAGCCTCACAAGTTTCTGAGTTTTTGCCAGTCTAATGAGCAAAATGGAACCTTTTGAAATTCTCTTTGCTTGGGTTATTAATGAGGCTTGAGATCTCTTCAGTGTGTTCACTGGCCAGGTAGATATCCTCCTGTGGTTCCTTTGTCTGCAAGGTTCAAGTCTAAAACTTGAACCCATTCCCCAGGAGTGTGCTCAGAAAGAACGTAGCTGTCTGAGCTGCTGTGAGCTGCAGAGCTGACAGCAGCCTCGCCTAATGGGAAACCTTCAGTGGTGTGGTGAATGAGGTTGCTTTTGACAAAAGTTGTGAAATGTAATGACGGAGTCTGTCATAATATGAACAATCTCTAATTTCTACTTACCATTCCCTGAGCTCTATGTCTTATAAATCACACCCACTTCTGAATGACTTCAAAACATTGTATGTTCCCTTCTAGTGAATGGTGTAATTAGCTATATTATGTCTTTCTAGAAAGTTATATTATGTCCTTTTAAAAAAAATTAGCCAGTGTGTGATAGCTTATGTGCAGCAGATGTTGAGGTAATGAGGTAATTCTCCTTTTGTCTTTTTTTTTTTCTGGGCTTTATTTTATTGGACTGATTGACATCTTTAATGCCCAAGAAATGGCAACTTTGGATACTATTTCCGATGCATATTTCCTAGTCACTAAAAGTGGACATTTCCCTCACAAAACATCATACAATTTTCTCTCTCTTCAGAATTCTGTTGGAAAATGATAGACTTGGTTCAGCATTTGTTTTTAAGGTGCATGATTTTCTGTGTAATTAATTCAGTTCACGTGCACTGAATATTCATAGCCAGGCAGTGGGTTAGGCATCCACGATAAAGAGCGGAGTAAGACCTGGTCTTTGCTGGTGAGGGCATGTGAATGCCAAGAATATGTGTCTGATTGGCCTAGTTGGGGGTCATGAATTCAAGGCATTTGGCTAGAGAGCATCTTCACTGGCACCTTCCAGAAAAACCCAAGTTGGAGTAGTTGTTGTAAATCCTTACTGAAGGAAGTGTGCAGATGGGGCCCACATAAACAACAGGTGTCCACTAGACTGGTCATTGTAATAGTGCCATGTCACTTGGAGCTTGTTGATGACATTTTGATGAGAGTGAATGCATTTGCCTTTCACAATGGTGGTGGGGAGGAGGGAAAAAGGGTGGGAGAGAAAGGGAGAGAGAGAGAATGACAATGAGTTATGTGTGTATAGTATTAGGGATTGAACCCAGAGCCTCATGCATGTTAGCTAAGACCTAATACTAACACCAACAAAACAAAACCTCTGAAGTTACTAGCTGCTCTTGGGAAAATACTATCTAATGTGGATTTTCTAAGTTAAGATGGTTGCTTTTTATTTGTTTATTTTATTTATTTATTTTTTTGGTCTGGTCGTGGGCCTGAACTCTGGGCTTGGGCGCTGTCCCTCAGCTCTTCAGCTCAAGGCTAGCGCTCTACCACTTGAGCCACAGCGCCACTTCCGGCTTTTTTCCCCTGCTTATGTGGTGCTGAGGAATCGAACCTAGGGCCTCATGCATGCAAGGCAAGCGCTCTACCACTGAGCCATCCTTCCCAGCTCAGATGGTTGCTTTTTAAACCAAGTTAACCTGCTCTCATATTGAGTCAGTGTCATTTCCCCTAGGTTACTAAGACATATGTAAGGTTCAGGTGGAAACAGAGTCAAGCTTATTCTTAGAGCTGAGTTAGTAATCCACAATACTTCCACTGTCCCCTTGGCTTTTGGGTCTATATAGGCTAGAGCCTATTTTTGACAAAAGAGGCTCTGTGGCTCTATTCCCTCTAATGTATTGTTTTTTTCATGGACCCTTCTAGACATTTTATGTAGCATGATCATTTGGAATGTCATAAGTCATTGAAAGATATTCTTTTCTCACTCTCTCCTACCCCCAATGCCTGCTTCACCCCTATGATTCATGTAGTAGATGTAGCAGAGAACCCTCATCCTTAAGCGGGGACTGTTATATCTTTGTACTCCCAAAGCTCACAGTGAAAAAATGGGGATAGAGTAACTCTACAGTAGCAATACCGGAGGGAGGACACTAGCTCAGCCAGGTGACCCATGGCATCAGTGTCCTGATGAGTCATGCTGAGAACATGATGTTGTACAAATGGCCACATTTATCTTTGTTCTTTCCTAACACACGCACACACACACACACAAAACAAAATCCCCCAAAACCCAAAGCCCAATCTACTCAGAGGAAAATATCATAGATTCCAATTTGCACACATTCTACAAAGTACTTGGTCAACACTCTAATAAAGCTGCCAAGTTCTCTAGAAATAAAAGAATAACCTGTCTAGGAGGTCAAAATGGAAGAAAGTCTGAGAA